TTTTTAAATATTCTCAAACTATTGATTGGTTTATCGATGTCTGAATTTATAATATTGTTGAAATTTTTGTACAATAAATTTTGGTAATTATCTAACATACGAGTAAAATAATCGCCATTAACTTTTCCTTAATAAATGAACTTGAGTCGTAGACGAACGAAAGACAATTATTTTCGTTACAATCATCGTCATCATCTTTATTGTTATGTTGTTAGGTGATGCAAATGATGATTGTGGATCTTCTATTTTTTTAGAGGAATTTGCTTTTCCACTTGTCTGACATAATTTTCATAATCTTTAACACTTAATATAGATTGCATGATTAAAATTTCCAAATTGTCGAAATCTCTTTTAATTTTTGTACCAAAAAAATGACTAATTATTGATTTCAAAAACACAAATTCCAATTCAATCCCGTTTTTATAATCTTTCAAAAACTCCAACATTTTATAATGATTTTCTACTTCAATGTCAACCTGAGTAATTCGATCAAACATTTTTGGATTATGACAGGTTTTGATTCCTTTCTAACTTCATGAAAAGATTCTTATCAAAACGGAATCACCAATTAGATCAAGGTGATCTTTACACAAACGTAGACCAAATTTTGTTAATTTGAATCCAATCTTGATAAATTGTTGTATGCATTCAACAAAATCATTTTTTGAATTTGGATAATATAGAATCAAGGAATTTTGTAGCACCAAATTATTGAATCTATACATATATCATGGTGACTAATTTGTTTTCATAGTTCCACAATTTCTGGGTAAACTAATATTGCTCTGGCAATTATGTTTAATTGCTTGTTATTTTCAAAACCATCTTTGACTGGATATTTTTCATAATTTATGATTTGTATTTCTTTTTGGTGCTCGATTGTGTCTTCAAATAAAACTGTTAGTCTAGGAGGGAAAGGTATAAACTTTTTATCAAGTATAAGATCTTTAATTCCTTCAAGGTTTTCATTTAATTTTACTGGTTGCTAAATCTATAGCTAATATCCACCTGTTAGTTAAGGAATAAAATGATTCGATGTCATTCCCTTTTATCTGAACCATATCGTTCCTTGGCCTCTTTTAACAAATGGATGATAAATACAGCCAATGGAATACTCGAGGCCCATGAATTCCTAAAATATTTTTGTGTACTTTGGACGTGTCGCTACTATTCTTAATATTAATATTATTTCTAACAACGGCATTTGTATTATTATCAATGTTGTTTTTGATATTGATAATGACATCATTTTTGATTCTTAGTTCAATTAGACTACCATCTGTTTTCCCAAACTGTAAAAGCAACCGTTGTGTAAGATATCTAGATAAAACCACTTTTTCTTCTATGATGAGAAAAGCGACCAATCCCATCGAAATAAGATTAGGAATTTGCTTTTCCGTAATTTTGTGTTACCCATTTGGCACGAATTTTTGATTTGTTTGATATCTCGTACCATTTTTTTTTATTGAGTAAAATTAGGAAAAGAGGCTTAGGAGTATATATGAGAATAAGTTCAATTGTTTTGTCAGGCAGATAGTTTATATTTTTATTTTCTTTTGCAAAACGTGTTAAGGCTATATATATTAAATCTTTTTTTTTTTGTGTGTGTATGAAAATTATTCCCGCTGATTAAAAAGGAAATTCATGAAAGAAGGCATTATTTTTATTATTTCATATTTAGGAGGAGTAAGTAAAAACAATATTTTTCTGATATGATGATAGATGGAAAAATGTTGCACAGAATTATGATAATTCGGGTCCTGTGATAATAATAGTAGCACACTTACTGTTACTGGACGGATACCTCTATTTTCTATTTTAATTTTCAAAACTCCACATAGTAAAAAAAAATATATATAAACTTATATCAATATGTGTGGCAATTATGTAATTTGATATTTTTAAATCCTGAAATTTTTTAATTCGCGATACGTGAGACAACTGCAAAAAATATAATATTAAAATTTTTCTGTTACACCTAAAGCAAATTGCGAAAGAGATATTTGCTTAAAATTTTGGGAATATGTTGACATAAAAAATAGCTCTAGGATCTTTTCAAAAATAAAAACCTTGAAATTTCACAGATATTTTATTTTGTTGTAACTAAGCAGTGAGTGTGTATCATTAAGTTCCGAGCCAGTTTCCAAATTATTTATTATATTTATTATCTAAAAAAATCCACATATATATACGAAATTTATTATGATCAACCATTGTGACCAACCATATTTTATTTATAGAATAATCGATTTATTTGTTATTGTTTATATTTCATAAAGGGGTCCGTTCAACAAGAATGAGAGAAATTTAAATTTAAATTCTTAAATTTCTTATTGGATAATTTTGAATTGATCCTTCAATAAGAAATGTTATAACATTGAACAAACTGTAGTGTCAATGAATCCTATTGGTTGAAACATAAAAGAAAAATCTCCTAATGAAAAATTTCTAATTCAATAACACCATCTGAGTGGGGAATATTTTAGTTAAGTTAAAAGATACCATAAATTACGATCCTTAATAAGAAAAACTAGATTTCATATTTAGTAAAATGCGTTAATGTTTTCCAAGAACTATATATAATTATTGTATTGGCAGAATCAATTTATTACTAACTTTTTTATTTTACAAAAATTTTTTCTGAATAATAGATGATCGTTGAAACTACCTCTCTTAATAAATGACAGTCGCTGAAAATTGTCGCCAAAACCAAAATGCATGGGAAGATTCGTGTAACGGAAAGTTCTGCGCCAAAACATCAATTTTGAGAAAACTCAAAAATTCCAAATTGGAAGTTATGATGTTCAAAAATGCAATGATTTCTTTTCATAAAGTAAGCCATTTAATCTTATTGTTATTGTTATTTTAGTAACATTCATCTTATAAAAATGATTAGATGTTAGAAGAATGTAAAGTTCATAAATACTTAAATAATGATAACATTTACAGATGTCACCAATTATGTTTGGGAGAGTGTACTTAATTGGTAACGAAATAAAAAGAATGTCGGGTGGACCAGATTGAAGAGGTACAAATAGCTTTGGATATTGATATGATAGTTTGTAGGATGGTTGCTTTCCTTCAAGACAAAACTTGTTATTATTTCTTTATTCAAATGCTTTGAAAAGTTTCCTTGGCAGTACATTGAATTCATGGTGTTTATTTATATACATACATGTTGATTAATTAATTATTGATATTTTCTATTCTATCGGTTTTTAACTAATTCTATAGAAAAGATCCATCAATCAATTAAAAATAATTTGTCAAATTGGAATGATGACAATATTATTCTAGCTAAATATGGAGCATTCATCATATAAACTAATAAAAATATTGACATAATCGTACATGGGTAACACATACAATATATATTTTTTTTTTACTCTACGTTTTCAATAACCCTTCTTCCAAATATTTTAAATTATAATTAAGATTTTCTATTTTTTGTCATTATCAATATATCTTTTAATCAATAAAATTCAACTCATATAATGATAAATCTACCCTGTACTATTACTATTCTATATTAATATTAAACATCGGAAATGGGTCCTATTTGAAATAATGATGGTCTTTCATCCTTGGTAAGTGTTACATTCTTATTTGATAACCTTATAAATAATAAATTTCAAGCTACATCAGTAAAATGGCAAAAGTTTTCTAAATTGTATATATTTGTTAATCCTTACAATTGTCTAGACTAAGAATACAACTGTACATTTATCACGGGTATAGCATTTATAATATATTAATAAACTTTGAATAGTTCAGAGCATTATAATAGAAATTAAGGTCAGAGTAGAAGAGAATAGTAAATTTTTTTAAAGATTATTCCACCATCTTAAAAGCAAGATATTCTCTAATAATTGGATTAAAAAATCTGAAAAAAGACTCCAAAAATACATATTTGAAGATGAAATTACTATGCATTATCATAGCAGGTCTATAATCCTGTTTGATTTACAAATGTGCTGCAATATATTACTATTTTATCGCATAATATTGTGTCAGGCCTCCTTATAATATTATACAATGTCATAGAGTGTAATGATTGCATAACAATTGTACTGAAATAAATTTGAGTTGGAGATGAGTTCAGTTTCGAGTTAGTTAATTAATAATCTACGAGGGAAAAATAGTGGCAATGTTATTTTAATGTAGTTGTATCATTTGCACATGTTATAAAAATTGATTGTATTTCCTCCCCCCTTCCCCCGAAGCTCTGTTACAAGTGGGGGGAGGGGGGAGGGGGAGACCACATCTTGAATGGTAAAATTAATGGACTTATGCTCATTTATCATATACAAATTCAAGGTTCAAGTCATTCTGTGGGAAAATATGCGAGAATCTTGTACGTGTAGAGATTGATTGGGAAAGCAAAATTTCATAACCCAAGTTCTTATGCAACCATCTGATTGTAGAAAAGGAGGATGAACCACTCTGGTTCCACTACTTTGTGCCAAATAAAGATCAAATTAATTGTCAATAGTTCGTGTTACATATCTCAAGCAATAATGTGTGGATCAATATAAAAATAAAAACCATCAATCACTTTGTCTTTTTTAAAAAAATAAAATACAAAAAAAAAAATGAATAACAATATATTCTTACATTGCAACATGTGTTTTGCCTATTCAAATTCTTCTTCTAATGATAAAGAAATGAGGTATTGGTTGACCCAATGTGGACATGTAATATGTAATTCTTGTGTCAATAAACACGGTAATAATAATGTTAGCAGTGATAATAAACAAAATGGAATTTGCAATGAAACCAAAGTCAATATAAATTACGGTAGTGCTGCTACAATCGATAACAATCCTCGAGGTATTATTATTTTACTTTTTTTAATAATAAACTTTTGTTTTTTTTTTTGTTTTTAGTTGAGTTGTTAATAAAGTTCTTTCAAACAAATTTTTAGAAATTTTAGGTGAATATGGTAAATCTTCAAGAAGTAATACGATTAATTGCTTATTTTGCAATAAAAAATGTGCAATTGTTGAATGTAACGATAATGTAAGTAGAATGAAAGAGCAAAACACGATTTGCATATTTGATTATTAATCTTCTTTTTGAAATAACGCTTTCTTTATTATATTTGATATATTTTTATTATTTATAATTACAATCACAAGCTTGATCATCAACTATCATCTTTTTTCCAACCGTTTCATGAGATGCTGGATGGAATTTCTGATGTCTATAGGGTAAAGTCATCAATCAATTGATCATTAATAATAGTTGCTACATTTATTTAATTATCATAACTTATCAATTTATTTATTTCGATAGTTTCAACAAACCAATACCAAGTCCCTCATCAATCATTTGAAAGATAAAGTGACTCAACAAGAAAATATGCTTTATAAAGTAAATAATGATTACAGGGAATTGAAAAGGTAATCAATCCTTCCTTTCATTCATTCATTGATTGTTTTAAATAAATAATAACAATTTAATTAATATATTTTTTATCATTTAGTCAATTGATTAGTCTTACAAATGAGAATAATCGATTGAAAGAACAATTAAAGGCGTTTCAACGTGAAAATACTTTCATGAATAATCCAAACGCCAGGTAAATGATAATGAATATTTAAAAAAGTATTAATGTATTATTGATTATACACACATTTATAAACATGAAATTTTATTTTTAAGTTCACTAGCAATACAGAAAATTGAAAATCGTAACAACGATTACAACAATACAATCAAGAATATAAATTATCAAATGTCATCGGATCCGGTAATTAAATATTATCATTAACTGTTCAAAAAAATTTAATTAATAATTAATTAACTAGTCAATAATAATAATTATTAATTATTATATACATGGAATAAGACATGTCCAACTTTAATAACACCAAATCCACGTCCTATTGTTAATAACAATGAAGATAATGATCTCATAAATGAATTATTAGGTCATTCAAGGTATGAAATCAATTATTATTGATTAAATCCATATTTTGTAATGTATCATATGTATCATAATTTTCCACTAACAAAATTATTATTATTAAATATTTTAACAAAGTCCCGTCTTAGATCAAGATTATTCTCAACGACATGATAATTCTTCTCAACAATCAACAAATCAACCTTTTAATAACAATAACAGTAGCAATAATAATAATATAATAATCAATAACAATCATAATATGATGGTGCAACCTGATACATCAAGGATTAATGGTACATATATATTTTGCATATTATTTTTATTTTACATCTTATAATTAATAATTTGATAAATATTAAAATCAATTTACTATAATCATTATATACTTACAATAGCAATAGGAAATAGAGTCGGCAATGATAATCATGCGAGTGGTGATGGAATTAGAGATATTAATGGGCTATCACTATTCCAAAAAAAATCACCTTTACAGAAACCAATACAACGAATTCCAACATTAAGCATGCCTGCAAATCAATACAATCAATTAAATCCATACAATCAATTAAATCATTTAAATCAACTTAATTCATTAAATACTTACAATCCCTATTTAAACCACACGACATATTATAACTCTTTAAGGCCACCCTTTCTAAATCCTATTATACAACCGCCACAACAGCAAGATCAACAACAACAAAAGGAAAAACAACAAAATCTGCAAATAAATCAGTAACAAATTGGAAAGATGACAAAATTAATGGGAATGGAGTTAATGAGATAATTTAATGATGACAAAATGAATAATCTACAAGTGGCTTGCTTAATTATTCAAGAAATAAATAAAATATATAAATAATAATAATAATAGTAGTAATAATAGTAATAGTAATATAAAAAATACATTAAAATAATTATTAGCAAATCAGAATTAAATCTGCGTTGCAAACATTTTGCTTCACGATTGGTGTTGGTATAATGAATTTTAAATGCAAAAAAAAAAAAATTTGAAAATTTTATCTTGGAATGTACACATGAAGAGATTAAGTAATTAAGTACAATATTGAAATTTAAAGGAAATGGAACATCGTCATCTCACAGAAGAAAAAACTTGAAAATTTCTCTAGAAACTAGATGTTGTTTATCAAAGATTAAATTGTTCAACAGGATGAGATTATTTATAATTACCCAAGATGAAAACAAAAGATGTCAGTACGTATTTTGTAAAACATGCATTTCTGAGAAAAAAACCAATATTTTCACAAACGTGACAAGATTTTCATATTAAGTAGAAATGAAGGCATACATAATGGATAAGTGATTTTATATAATAGCCTGTATATATATATATATACCTTTTTAATTGTTTTTTTTTTTTTTGTCATTTTCTAGAATTTAAACTTAATTAGCATTCTCACTTTTCTTATTTATTAGCATTTTTTCATCGAAAGAAATCTTGAAATTTAATTTGGGATTTATATCTAGATTCAAAGAAAAACCTTGATTTTTTCATTTTATATATCAATTTTTGCCATTAAATTTTGTATTCAACTTTGTACATATAACACAACAATAAAAATAAAACCATCAATCTAAAATGTTGGTGTTGGCACATCAGGTGAGCATAGTCAATGCTTAAAGCAATTTGGAAATGACTTTGCATTGATGAAGTAAGAAAATTTACAAAAGTATTGCAATATAACTTTATTTCGATGTTGGAGATATTTAAAATCAGAAAATAAATAGAAAAATAAATAATTTACCTCATTAAGAAATTCATCAGAAATATTCTGTGAATCATGTAGTTTTTTAATGCCACAGTCCTATCTTTGATAGTTCTTTTATAATTATTGTTATTTATACTTTTATCACCATTTAACCAAGTGGCTTTGGATATAGTTGCAAAACCACTTTCTCCCATCTTTTCAATATTTGTCAAATCATCATAAAGAATCCATTGAAGATGATTATTATAATGATAATATGTTGCTTTAAGTTGTGTACTTTTAATCAACACATCTAATGTTTCATTGCCACTAGTCCATCTTTCAGTTAACAGCTTTGGATCACGTGATTGAAACCATGAATAATGAGTGTTATGTCTTTTGCAAATTGGACATTCCCCATATACTGCATATCTTTCATCAAAATATTTATCATTTTCATCAGTAGAAGTATCATCATGATGTTTATTTCCATCCAAAGTGTTTTCCATACTTTTTTTTTTCAGCCATAACAATTCAGCATTGACACCCTAAAGTCGTAAAACTGTAACAAATATTGCAAGCGTGTGTGATCTGAGTTATTGGAGTCACCAAATATGGAAAACTGATTAAAATCGCTACTTACAACTATAATGCTTGGTTAGGGCTTCTATTCGAATAAGGATTTATTCGATTATTTGTTTTACTTGCTATGAATTTGAGTGTTTGGATTACATTGAATGTTAATTCGAATAAAATGAATAACGAATAATTCGATGATTCGATGATTCAAATAAACCGAATGAACGAATAATTTGATGATTCAGTGATTCAAATAAAACGAATGAACGAATAATTCGAATAAAATGAATAGTTCGAATAAAGCGAATAAACGAATAATTTGAATAATTCGAAATAAAGCGAATAATTCGAATAAAACGAATAATTCGAAATAAAGCGAATAATTCGAGTAAAACTAATAATTCAAATAAACGAATAAACGAATATTTCAAAATAAAATAAAATGAATGATAACAATTCGAAATAAAATGAATGATAACAATTCGAATAATAATAAACTAATGATAACAATTTGGATAAATAAAAAAACATTACATTTAATGGTATTACGTCATTATTCGGTGTTGTTGATGTTGAAATATCTATTCCAAACAAACGTGGATTTTGGATAAATTTCTGATAACTCTACAATCCATTTCCAGAGCTTATGATACACAAACAAATATGGTTTTATTAATTAGGAAGATTATAATTTTTATGTGGTCGAATCAAAAATAATAATAAACAGTAAATAAACTCGCAATCTAAAACTCTCACACCGTCAACTGGCGCAGAAACATTATTTGATCATGTAAACTATAATTTTTATTTTCAAATATCATTAACAATATTTTCATCCAAAGTTATTATATTAATCCTTTTACTATCAATTAAGCTACGAGTAACTTGATAAATATTTAATGGTTTTATATAATAATTTTTTTCAATGCAATGCTCATTAATATTATTTTCATTATCATTGTCGTAGATATTGTCTGAATGACTAAAAACTTTGACTTCTTTAAAATTTAAACGTTTCGATAATAAATCATTGTAAAATTTCTTTTTTTGGATGCTTTTTGACAGAACAATTTACCACCTTATTGTAATAATGTTTAGATAAGTAAGTCATCTTTTATTGATGATTAATTTATATTCGATACTATTTGTGAAGATAGATAATCTCAAAACTTTATTTAATAATATTGATACGTTATTATTATTAAATAAAAAATTGAAACCAAAGGCGTTAATTAAATTAAATTGTACTTTTCATTCACATGCCTACTTGAAATGACCCTTGTAATAAAAAAATTATTATATTGAATCAGTAATAGTTATCCAGGCATACTATCACTCTTTCTGGTCATATTTTTAACCTTTTATTAATGGGATTTTTTAACAGTTAAATAGTTTATTTGATTACTTTTAAATTTTTCTCTATCAAATTAATTTATGAAGAATTAAATAAATTATTAATATACTAGATCAATGGTTTATGACAATGACTTCGTCACCGGTGTTACTTGTTATTTACTGCTTTGAAGTTTCTATTCAAATAAAGGTTACTATTTGAATTATTTGTAATTGGTCAACACCAGATAAGATCTACAAAGCTTGGAAAGCCAGTTTTGTAAAATATACTTGATGAATGCTTTATTTAGTTGTTTGATAAACGAGTTTGATTGTTTGAAAATGCCATATAAGTATTTAAAATCCAAAAAAAAACACTACTTACCTATTACCATATATTTTTTTATATTGGTAATACTTGATCGAATTGAGTGATCTTAGATTTAAAAGAAATCTCGACTTCTATTGCACATAATATTCAAACTTATTTATAGTTAATATTTAGTATATTGATTTTAAATCACAATTCGTTGACGCATTTTAATAATATTATTAAATATCCCTTTACATTTCTCTTTTCCTTTTTTGACAATTGGTATATTATTTTTGCTTGCTCATACTACCTAATTATTTTAATCATATTATTTATGTAGGTATTAAATGTAAAAGAAAATTTTTAAAATGTTTAAATATTATAAATATTCATGGTAATATAATTATTTGCATTTATACTTGCGCGTCAAAAAAAATTTACTATGATGCAGATCAATTTTATTATTTCGCAACCTGTTACTGCGGGAAATGTCTAATAATAATAATAATATATTTCCGTGTGATTTCCGTATTGGTATATTAGTATTAGTATGTTTAATCAAGTTTACAATTAACAAATAAAATGCTTTGTAAAAAAAAATTCCCATTTTTATTTGCGAGTTTATCAGTAACTTAATAATATTTCAGAGCTATAAAATCTTATTCTCATATTCCGTTTTAATTCCACATTTACAAATGTCCTTGTATTAATATAAATAACATCACAGAAAAATCCGGATTGCTTACTCAACTGATTGCTGCTTTTATAAAATAAACCGAACATTTACGGAATGATAAAACATGATCACGGAGATATAATGGAATATTCTGGAGTGGCATTTTTTACAGGGCTGAGGATTCTAATGAATCAATTTAATGACATGATTTTTTTGCCTTTATTTTTAATATTAACAAAGTTTTTTTGTTGATATCTTGCAACTTCCGGAAAATTTTGTTAATATTAATAATGTGTAAAAAATGCCCGACCTAATTACTTTTCAGGATTAATTCAGATGACCTGCACCAAGAAAAAAAAATTGTTACACGAAACCAATTTTTAGTCAAGAAAAATCTAACCCGATAAATTTTGAAGCTAAAGTCATAAACTTATTATTTTCATTT